CATACAGATATACTGTACAGTACGTATCTCACACATTCACGAATCCTGCAAAGCTTGGAAGAAGACATCATACCATATATGAAATCAAGCCCAAGATATCATTCTACTGATCATTGTGATTGTGAGAACTGAATATACATGCTCCATTTAAACAGTGGGCATGATTTTTAAAATCTAACTGCTGCATAAACTGACGGAGGAAGAACAGGGCAGGTCTCCTCCCGGACTGTTTTCTGCACTAAGGATTTTCAATTTAGAACAAAACATGAAGCTTTTCGTACATGACTTCCTCATTAGACTGAGTGCAGACGAGACTGCCAGCGCGGTAATGAGTGTCCACAATGCAGCGAAGGAGCAGACTCATACGTGTACCGCTTGGCGGGGAAAGGGTGTAGCGGACCACCCGAGAGCAGTACCCGCGGCACATTCCCACCCGAGACAAGCCGGGTTGGGCTCAGCAGCGCTGAATGGAAACTGCTGCACCTGCCCATCTGCCCTCCCCGCTGCCTACTGTACCTCCTGACACGCTGCAGCTCCTCGCCCGCACACCCATGGCAGGAAACCACCCGGTAGGCTGACGTGTGATCCGAGGACCCCGTCCAGCCGTTTCCCAGGAGAAGCCAGGGAACAGCTTCCGCAGCTGCTGGTCAGAAAGAAATCCGGTGGGCGGTCTGTGTCATTGCTTTTAGGGACTGGGAAACGTTGGTCTGACTCCCTCATCTTTTTCTGTCCTGAAGACTAAAATGATTTTATTTTAGTTCTTTTATCCTGTCAGTGAAGGACATACCCCAGGGCCTTGGATATTGATTGATTGTAGCCGGTTGCTCTTCTCTGGACATGTTCCAGAGCTTCAGTATTATTTTTATAACACAATTACACACAATATTTTAAATAGGTCTAAAATGTGTCCTTATTAATACATTACACAATTTTTACATAACATCCTTTGATTGAAATTCTTTGTTTTAGCTTTATATCCTAACATTCTGTTGAGGTTCTTATTGCTTTTCCACATTATCTAGAAAATAAAGATGATGTGCTGACATACTGTACACATCAAAGCAGTTTTGTCAAATTTGGTGTTTCCCCAAATATTTTTATAGTTTGTTTTTGCTACTTGCATGTAACACTCATTTCTGGTTTATATTAAACATCATCAGCCAGATGTTTCCCTTCTTCGATTCTGTCTAAATCATTTAGAATTTTCCTTTCAGCTTCTGCAGTGTTTGCTGATCTCTTATTTGATACTAACTGCAGACTTGAGAATTTAATTTAGCAACTATACCAGAATTAATATCTTTGTATATACAGTAGCTTAAGTAGAGCAGTGATCAGCAGATTCTCTTTGGATCCATTAACCAGTTCTTAATCCAAATACAATTAATTCCATTTCTTTTTCAGGCATTCAGTGTCTTTGAATGACTTCTGCCTGCAATTTGAGAATTAATCTTTTACCAGCAACATACAAAAGAAGACGTATTGTTCTGTTATTCTTCCGATTGTCACTCTTTATGGATAGATGCTACATTAGCATTTTTCTGTTAGAATGTGTTCCTGCCTTTACTGACTATTGGAAGAATTTGTTTTTCAACAGCATATACAGTAGATATAATCTCTTTTCCTCACGTACAATGGGTAGAAACCCATTAGGCCCTGGAGATCTGTTTATCTCAAGTGCTTCTAGTACCTACAGTAGGGCACTTTAGTATCTTCCCTGTAAAAACAATTTTATATAGACCGTTGTCTTTCCCTTGCCCAAAGCATGTGGTGGATTTCTTCCTACTGTACGTCAGTGATTGAGTTAAATAAAAGCTTTCATTTCAATTTAATTTTCTAAATGTTTACCATTTGTATCTGTCTCACATTTTACTCCATCTTTTTGCTGTTAGAATACTGAAATGAAAAACATACCTGCCTACATACTGTACGCACCTCCTTAATTACCTGTCTACTCACCTGGTTAATTACCTGCCTAACTCCCTTTCTCTCTTTGACTTCGCAATTACAGCTTCATTTACCAACACTAATTTTAACTATTAGAAAATAAGCACCCTATAAATCAAAAGGTTTATGTCTTCAAAATATTTTTTTCACAAGTACGGAAAATACGACATTTAAAAAATATGGTCTTTTTCAATAATGTAATGATTAATCTTGCTTATGTCCAACTACAGTATTACAGGGTTCCTTTTCCTTGGGTTTTAAAGCATGTGCTGTACTTATTCCCCTTTAGAGTTGCAAAAAGCTAACATAATACAGTGTCTTCTTTACGTGCTTTGGGGCCTTGATGAGTTAGATCACATGCATTTCAATAAAAGGAAAGTTCAAATTATCATATTTGTTAACAATTAATGGATTATGTTTTCATTTAATGTGAGAAACCCCTCATGTGCAACATGAGGAGAGACCAGTGTTAATGGTCTGAAAAGCTTTTCCTTGTAATCTTCACTTTCATGCTTATAAAGAAATCTAATTACTTGACACTTGTCACTGAGAAAAAGGGATACGTGCTCTATCTGTATTGCCTCTGTACAATGTCAGGAGATGCAGACACGAGCAACAAAGATGAATTTTTTGTTTTCTAGGAAAACATACAGTACTTGAGTGGCTTGTTAGTCATGTTTTCTTTCATGTTATATTCAAAACCATCAAGTGAAGGTCTCTGGAGCTCTTTTTTAAGCAAGATAACGAAGTCTGGTGCCTCAGAGTGCAAAACATTAAACATTTAATTAGAATTCTATATTTACTCATTTATTCTATCGCCTACCTAGGAACCTAACTGAAAATCTTTTTTCATTCCTTAGACATCAGTTTTGTAGTTATTCATTATCCTTTTTCTGATGTATCCCTGCTAGCAATTGTGTGCCATCTCTTTATATTATTTCAAATGATGTGCTAATTGTAGTGTTTTATAGGGTTGAAGAGTCCTTTTACAATGAGAGAAAGTATGTTAGTAATATACTGTTCTGTTACTGTATTGATTAAAACTGTTATTTTCAAGCATCTTGAAGAAGCATCCATTGGTTGTGCTTAGTTTCTGCAAAGAATAGTATGAAAGACCACAGTGCTTTGCTAAAACTAGGCATTTCTTTACACTATGACAGCCTCATAATTCTTTATGTCTATGAAATATTGCAGGACAACCATTTCTTGCAATTCCTACACATGCAACTGGGGTCCCAGTCCCTGTCTGCACCACAGGCGTTGTGCTCTTCTGCCTCATCCAGGACTGCAGTTGTGTTGAATTTGGTTGATTTTATCTTGAAATGTAAAATCATCAGCAAAACAGGATCTCTCTTCCTACTCTTTGTCTAGGACCTCGTGGAGGATTTGTCAAGGTCATATTTATTATTGTCAGATCAATAATAATTCTGCGCCTTTGTGCTGCTCTGTTTCTTTGTTTCCTTCTTTTTTATGTCTAGCTTTATTTTGATCGGTAAAATATATATATATATCTTAGAATCAAATGCAGCTGCTGTCGGTTGCCTGCAGCCTAAGGCTAAAATACTGAAGTATAAAGATTTATTTTGCTTCACTAAAGTATCCAACAACAGTGATCTAAAGGAAGCTAAACTGTAAATTCTTCTTTAAGGATACCAATTATACTTCTAAAGTTATTTCCTCAGTTTTGGTAAAGTTGCTTCATTTCCTTTTGCTTTTTTTCAGCTCTTCACACAGTCCTTGTTTTTCATATACCGTGTGACTCTGAATCGGCTTAGACAGAGCGGCTGGGCCCCCGTCTGCAGCAGGCAGTAGCTCAGAGAGTGCTGTTTCCAGTTTGTTATTCGTGTTCGACGGTGCTTATCAGAGTGGAGGAACAGCAATGCTGGAAAATTGAGCCTCCCAAAACTGTTTGTTCCTAAAGCAGGATTAAGCTTACGAGTTCCGGTTTTAATGAGGCTGAGTCAATGAAGCAGTTTGCAAATCTAAATCCCCATTGGTGCTGGGAAACTATTACTTCAAACTTAAAATCCGTGAGCCTATTAACGCAGGGGCTGCTGACTTCAGCCGCTCTCTGAACGGTTGGGTGTGCCCAGAGACTCGCTCATTTTCCTTCACTTCCACATTCCTCATGAGGCCTCCTGCCACTCTCCTCGGAGGAGGTTTAAATAAGAGGCCCAGCGCTGACCCACACTGCTTGCTCACCCGGCACCATGAGGACTCTCCTCACTGTGCTGAGGCGGCCATGATGGAATTCTTCATTACCGCCAAGGCAGGTTTTACCCCTTCGAAAAGCCGAAATATGTCAGACTCTTGAAGTGACTTTTATTTTAGAGCATCAGCATCATTTCGCCTTTCTTTTGTCGCAACTTTTTTTCAGAGTTCTTCTTCTTCTGATATAGCTTTTTAGCAAGCATCAGCATGGCCTTGATATGACAGAAGATGCATAGGAAGGTCTTGGGGAGATAAAAACATTGGAGGTACAGGAATTGCAGTTTTGATGGACAGAAATAAGCCATAAGCTGGAGAAAGATTAACATACATAGTCTACTTTACACCTACCAGAGTAGAATAGGTACCTCATTTATCGACAAGTTAAATTTTGGCTAGGAGCTCTTTTTAAAATGCTTAACTCGGAGATCTCCAGTCCTGAGTATGAACTCCCAATCCCAGTGGTTTTCTAGGTCACCATTAAATCACGCATTTTTAAAGATATAGAACTATTCTCCCTACAATAGCAGTACACTCTGCAGTTCATCACTAGCCATAAGTTTTATTGGAGAAGAACATTTTGTGGCCTTTATCTATGTATTATGGAATGACGATGTATAAAGATGGGGTTTTTTCGGGCTCCACGGCCAGAACATTCTGTTCCTTTCTTCTCTTTTCAGCATGGAATAAACCTTTACTCGTTAGATTAATACGGTAGCTCTAATCCAGCTAGGACAAACTGAGTCATTGTTAAAATTGTCAGCAAGGTCCAAGAAACACGGAAATTGACAATTTGTGCAGTACTAGGCGATCCCTAATGCTTGTGTTGTTGTTTTTTTCCTTTCAAGATGGAAGTTACCGAGAAAAGCTTTCGAACCTGACACGTCTGCTTGTCCAGCCAATCTCAGCGTCTCTCGCCAGAGAGCTGCTGTCGGCTCCTGGGACAGCATCAGCGGTCAGAGACAAGTGCACTCCTCTGACAATGCCTGCCACCGCAGGTAAGGAACCTTCTCACTGCAGCCTTCCTGGGAACTGCTTGTCCTTAACCACATTCCCTTTAATAACGCCCTGCTTGACGGCACGGAGATATCTTGTCTGTTTCAGGTTAATGCTGATCCCTTAGAGAGCTCAGTTATCGCTTAGCACTGTCAGACCCCCCGAGACAGCTCTGCATGCCTAATTTTGCCGTAATCATAGCTTGTGCTTGTCTCTCCAACACAAAGGTGAAAGTTGCCGTATGATTGGGAAGCTGATAAGTAAACCAGGCAGGAATGAAGGAACAGAGTTCTGAATTAATCATATAAATAAGATATAATCAAGTATAATGCAATCTAAATGTATTCATGTTATTAGGCAGTGATACCTGAGCTTCGAATTAGGTTCAGCACTGTGCAAGCAAATTATTATCTTGACTTATGTCCCATGTCTTAGAGAGACAGTGCAGAATGGATTGTTATATCTGAATGAATTACAGTCAGCTTCTAGACTAACTGTGACAACTTGAGTGTAGTTAATATAACTCCAAGACGGTGATGCATGCCAGTCAATCCAGCTTACATAATCATTTTGGTATTTAATTGAGATGACCAGAAGACTGCCTTAAGTGGTTTATTTCGGTGACCTTTTTCTTGGGTCAAACATAACAGGTTTTTGGTCAATAATTTTGCCATGTATATTCGTAACTGTTAATTAAACTGACGAAATGGGAATTGCATTCACAGACGTATAATTGGATCTAAATGCAAAGGACTCAAGAAAAAGGTCACAGTTTTTAATGTGCAAAAATTTCATTTAGGTGATAGTCTTCAACACACGTACTTTAAAAGGACAATATTTAATGAGGTTCTGGATGTTCACAGCTGCTGCTGTAACAGATAATATTCACTGTTTTTAAAATTGTTCGTATGCAGTTGAATAAGTATACATAAACTTTAAGTTTTAATTCTTCCAGATAAAGTAAAGGAGAACAAATTCACGTTAGCAACAAAGACCCATAGGTCCGTGTAGTGGAGTACTGGCTGTGTACTGGAGCAGCGAAGTCCTGTACCTTGCTCATATTACTACAGCAGCTTCCCTTCTGTTCTTCAGTCTTGAACACTGCTCCGTGCTGCTGCCCCAGCTCAGTCTTCAGTTCGCGACTAGCACCCGTCACCTGGGCATTGTCAGAACCCCGGGAAAGCTGCCTGTTTCTGGCGGGGGTCATGACCACCTGCAGCCTGTCCTGCAAGCGCAGGGCACCAGGTTGGTCTGTACCACGGAGCAGGACACCTGTCCACTGCAGGGCACTCCCAAACACGCAGGGGCGGTTCAGAGACACCCTTTACCCCAGCCAGCATGTCTGTGGGAGGAAGAACACAGGGTAAATCCAGAGGAGACCCATATGCACACACACTGAAGGTACATCGGTTTGAAATCTGTACCCCTGTGAGGCAGCTGACTGAGCTCGCCAGCATCTGGCAGGAATAACATCTTTATCTTTTCAAAACCCACTGCCGTCAAAAACACAGCGGCTCTCACGTTCATCGCTCAAGTTCACAGTTCATAGTTCACAGTGCTGATTTCATTAAGTTGGATCTAAGAACAGAATTCCTTTCTGGTCACCTTAGAGGCTTCACTTATCCTTCCCAAAACACATATTTTAAAAAATGGTCAAGAAATTCGCAGTTGTCATGGAGAAATGGGTTGTCATGTGGGTGCAATGTTTAAATGAAAAAAAAAAGCAAAAAGATTACGAATGAGAAAGGATCATTCAGTCTCTGTAGCTTGTTTGGTTTCTAGTAGTTAATTGATCTCAGGACAAACATCAATTAGTAATACAGTAGCACATCCAGTTTCATGTTTTGTTTTAAATGCACTCAATGTCACTGCAATAAAAAAGGGAAAAAAAGAAACTTTGTTTAGAATATGTAATGCGACTGTGCTTTAACTGTATTTAACGGTCATTATTGTCCATTTACATGAGAGGAATACAGAAGTTTGTGATATTTGGTTAATACTAGTTGTTGCTACAGTCCTTGAAAAACAGAAAGAAGTCACATGCCCTTTAAGAGAACAGTGGGAAAAGTGAAAATGGATGTTTCGAGGCATTAGTTTAAAGAGCAGTGAGGAGACATGGCTCCGCATGATCAATGATTTACAGCTAAAATACAGACATTCCTGTAGCTACACTGGTTTCTGTGTTGTAATAGAAATAAAGCAGGTGTATGAACTCTTTTAATGGATGGTATTAAACTCTAATTCCTGCTATTGACTGAAAAATCCTTCCATCTCTCTGCATCATTGCCCAGGAGACTCAGCTCTTGCTGCAGTGCAGTTGTTCAGTCTTGATAGACAGCTAAGGATTTAGTTCAAGTGACAAAATGAAGGAAAATGGGTTTTAAGTTGAATCCCTTGCCAAAGTTCCAATAAAGACTGAAATGGTGATGGCTATTAGGCTGTGATTAAGGCTCCTGTAACTTTTCTATTATTGTTTCTTTTTGAAATCGTCTTAATATATAAATTCCTCATTTTTACGACTTTCCTCTTATGCCCTCTTTTCGAAAGGAATTGAACATTTTTTGATAATATAATTCCAGTTCTTGTTATTCTCTACAGTAATAAATTGTGTTTTCTGGTTTTCTGTTTTGTAGACAGATAAATAGATACTATTTGCTATTGTTTTGTTTTTTAAATAGAATCACGTTGTTTGTCCCATGTTGACTTCAGCTGCCAATTTTGCACACTAAGATTTGGATATTATTCATCTCAGTGCATACATGGGTCCCCAAATGGTTAAAAAGACAGTTGTATAGGCTTGATTCAATTTTTTTTGTTCTGCATCATACAGTACCTGTGTTTCAATCACTGCAGCTGCTGAAATCTGCTGGCTGCTCACTGAAATCTTTTGTTCACATCACAACATTAAGATGGGTTTGAGCGCTTCAGAGATCTTCCAGGGCCCCTGGAATCAATGAGACCCAAATATCATTGGTCAGAACATGAAAGTTATTGATCAGACTGGGTGCCGAGAGTCCCTGTCTGTCTCTGTTACCTGCAGTTTTACTCGTCTCTGTGCTGTCGTCTCCTATGTAAAATAAGAGGCGCACAGCAGAGTGAGATTCTAGTAGGCAGGATAGTAATCTGTGTTCCATTGATTGGATAAAGCACTAACCACTCCAGAGGTTTTCAATTTATTTCTCTTTATCTTTCTTTTTTTTAATTAACGGTCACGTGCCCTTTGTCCGTCTGTTACATTTACCTCTGTCTCAAGGAGACGCTGTGAATGGTACCTTATTCACTCATTTTTATTTTCCATAGACACCAGGGATGTGGGCAGGGATGAGTTGCATTATTTCACTTAATTCATTACTGCAGCACAGATGGATATCAAACAGTGGGATGGGTGGTTATGGAATGGACCAATAAAACTTGCTTAGAAAACCAAAACTGTGGTATAGTGACTTTTTTGACAGAAATTAAACTTAGCTTTAGAACTGTTTTTAAATAGAAAGGTTATTCATTCCTATGAGAAAATACAATGTATGCACACATGCAAGCTCGATACACTTGCATTATTATTAATTGAAAAATCGCCTTTTTGGTGCACTATATAAAGTATACATATCTCTTAGAGGTAGTATAGTAGTGATTTTATGTATCACAAGTTTTTGCGCAACAGAAACGTCTGTTACGTGTCTGTGTGACCGTCGCGGTTCCGCGCGGGGTCGTGCCCTCCGCCGCCCCGTTCCGTCCCGCAGCACCTGGGCGTGAACCCGGGTCTCCGGCGTAACACAACAGAGAATCAGCCGCATGAGCTAAAGGAGAGCTCCCCCAGCCCAGGCAGCTGAGGACCCTGGGACGCGCAGGGAGGGCGCTGAGTCACCGTGCCTCCATACGTCTTCCTTGGCAAGCGTGACCCACTTGTTTGATGACAATGTTTAATGTTTTAATATCCTCCTCAGGAATTGCCTGACACTTCTCCCTACGGCCGGCTTTCACAGAACGGTGCCATAGAATGAGAAGGTCTATCAGTTGCTGAAAATTTTCTTAGTGTCTATTTAAAGATTTTATCAGGGTCCAGTAACAACCTTTTGGACAAAATCCGGTATCTGGTATTATAAGAAACAAGACTAAATAGGAAATGGCGTGAGGTAAGTACAGTATCAAATTGACATTTAACAATTTTATTTTCATAATATTTATACTCACAGGAATTTATCATATTGAAAAATAAACATATTTATAATGTCTGTCATTTGTTTTCTGTGGTCCCCAGTCTGGAACTAGAGTCTCTCAGATAATTTCATATTAGCACTTATTCGCCTTGAGATTCATTAGGAGAGAACAGGCTCTGAACGCAGACGTCTTTGTCTCACTGGTTTCTGCAGTAATGTACTCCTAATAGATGTCCTCAAAACAAATGCTGTATTATAAATCATCTCACACATCTCAGCTGTAGCGAACAGCTCAATAGAAACACTTTGGATCTTTAATTACAATAGTATTGATTTCTGCATACCTTGCTAGGTAACTGGTCCCATCTCAGTTAAAGATTTCCTCCCCGAGTTAAGCACAGAAACCATAAAGATTAAATTTGTGCTGGAATGAATTCTGTAGTTTCGAACGCAGAAATATAATGGCTCCACTTTCTCAGTTACGGTCTGTGAAGATCTGTGCATTGTGCTTCATAGTGTGATGCGTTTTAATATTCACTGCCTTGGCTCACCTTTGTATTATTTATGTTTTGTTTATTTGGAGTACATTTGACATCAACCATTATTTCGGAGCTACTGTACGTACATACAGTATATAGTATATCCACTCAGCCTGGAACTGAGAACTGAAGTTTTCGGTGCAACTGTAACTCTCCCTGCGCCTGCTGGGATTTGATCCCGGTCTCTTCTAGGCTCTGAGCACACACAGCGCCACTCCTTGGATAAGCTCTGTTATTCCGAAAGTACAGTCCTCCACCAGGAGAGAACTGTACACAGCACCAGAGAGGACTGCGGCTCTACTCTGC